TTTTTTTTTTTTTTTTTTTTTACATTATGTCGCGCATTTCAAAGAACGATTGACGCACTTGTTAACACAAAACTCTAATGTTTTTAACTTAACTTAAAATTATAGTGCCGGCTACAATTTCAGGGTCTTAGGAAAGGGGAAAAAGTGGTCCTGGCCAAAATCGGAAAGTGTTTGTCTTGGTCTCCTGTTTTTAAATTCCTTCCGATCTGTGGGCACTGAGGGCTTTTCAGTTGTTGTTGTTATTTGTTAAGTTATGGTAACGCAACACTTGGGAGATCTGCCTAGGGGGATAATGCCTTCCGGGAGGTATTTTTTGAAGGAAACTGGCCCATATTTTGATGTTACAGACGTGGAGAAAACCCGGAAAACACGTGGCCAGCCCGTCCGAGCGAGGGGCTGCATGGGCCTACAATGGGGTGGTCGAGTGATGAAGGACATGGCCCGACACATCAACACGTAAAAACTGCCTGAGGTTTTTCGACTCGTTTGAATTCGATCACAGCATCAGTTTCTCATCTCAACTACTCAACCAGCTGACCGTCTAGTTTCTTTACTTTCTAGTATTGAAAGATTTCGCTTCCAACACTTCTCTAGGTTCAGATAAATGTGGTGCCGAGGGAAGGGGAAAGCAATACATTAACACTTTCGCTCTATAGAAATGTATTGGTTTGGTCTGACGGTGTTTTGCACTAGCAGTTGATTTGAACTTAGAATTGTACAGTCGACCCCCCTATAACGTGCGTTCCTATAACGGAAATTCCTATAACGTAGCGAAAAAATTGTAGCAACTTTCGTATAACGTACCTCCTATAACGTCGTTTCGCGACAAGATTGATAGAGTCTGGACCAATAGTGGATGAGCAGCCGAACTACTTTCCTCCGACCCTGCGCCACGCTACGGAGCGGCTAAATTGAGTTTGCTATCGTCTGTTTAGTATTATATATAAATTATATATAAATTAGGTACTGTACATATAATTATATATTAATTATATATAAATTAGGTACTGTATATATAATTATATATTAACTTAATTTATTGTAACTTTATTATAATTATATATATGCTTTCTGCCGCCTGGCAACACGCTACGGAGATTTTAGGCTAGTAAGTTGAGTTTATTATCGTCTGTACAGTATGTAAATTAGGTACCGTAAGTCTAATACAGCACTAATTTTATACATTTCTTGTGAAAGAAACACTTCTTATTCAACGTCCATAAAAAATATTTATATTAATGATGTCTCCAAAGGTCAAGTTATTTTTCTGCGAAAAATTATTTATCAGAAATCGTGGCCGCCGTTTTGTGCGCTGTTCCGCGACGAAAACAAGCTTTGAGCAACGGCGTAGTCGAACGGTGCACACTCGGTAAGTAATCCTACAATTTTTTGTTTATAGCATAGTTTATACAGATTATTCCCAAAAAATTATACGTGTTTTGGAAATGTTGAGTGGAATTAGTCTAGAATCGGTTAATTTTATTGAAGAAAACCTTTCAAACAGCCTTAGTCCGTAAACTTCACACCTATCGGGCTGCGATTGGCTCATGTATTTAATCATTCCTACAACGTAAAATTCGATTAACGTGGAACGTATCTAAGCGTTATAGGGGGGTCTACTGTATTTCTAACGATGGCAGCGAAAAGAGTACTGCCGGACCTATCCTACGGTGTTGTGACTATGCGCAATAACACAGAAAGAGTTGAGACTAAGAACAATACACTTTATTGTTCGTTCGGAAACGTATATACAGTTCCAAAAATGGCGGGATAACGACCCAACAATTCTCTTGTAGTATGATTGCACTAATTACCCCTTTCGCTGTTGAGGGGCGCCCTCGTCGTTGTATCCCTCACATATGGCCTTGAATATATTTTCAGTATAGGCGGGCTTATCTGTAATAGATTCGGCTTTTTTTTAGTTCTTTACACTTTCTGTTCTATGCAAACTAAGAGGGTCTTTTTTTATTATACCCGTTGTATATTCGGCCAGGTTCATAATAGTAGTGGCCGAGTGTTTAAAAACGGGCCCGATATATCCAGAACAAATTGCCCATGAAAAATTCTTGAAATTGGTCGACAAGATTCGATTCTGGATCGCTAGAGCTGTAGCTGACGCCTTAATCTCCTCGGTCGTAAGTTTTAGATCTGTGAGAGCCAATAAATTTATATGTTTTAATAAATTCATTGCAAAAGAAACGAAGATGTTATCTATTTTTATATGTAATTTTGTAATGTATCAATAAATGTAGAGTAAAAACAAAGATAGGCTTGAACTTTACAAATTATTTTAGATTGAATTAGCATGCCAAATTTCGTTTCATAATCGTTACCCCACCCTGAGATATCAAACGAAATAGATACCAACACATACACGCACTCCTGTCCGTTTTTGCCCTTTTTTACGTTTTTAGATTCAGGAGGATTCAAAACGTAAAGATTTGCAAAAATCCGGAGGGTCAAATTTATTACGATTCTAATTCTTTCCCGTGTTATATACATTACAAGCCGGAAAAGTAAAAAAAAAAAAAAAAAAAAAAAAAAAATCTAGCTACGAGTCACGTAACTTTCTTGACTGTTATATGATTTCATTTAAAAAATAACTGCTATATTATTAATCATAATAAATAAAATTGTATGTAATGCCATCTGTTATGCGATTTTGTTATTAAAACAACTATTTATATGATTAATTATAAAATGGCAAAATTTTGAGGACTACCTCAACATTTTGCCATTTTATAATTAATAATATAAATATGAGTTTTACAAAAAGAATTGTAAATGCTAAGAATGAATAAAATCTTCATTAAGTTAAGTCTTATCTCTCTCGAAATACGACAAATGGCATCCCTCTAGCTTTCCATCCCCTCGACCTTTAACCATCAAAATTTGATCGGCGGATGGCAGAGCGATCAAGTTGGTAACCTTCCACTCTGGGGACCCGGGATCGAATTCGGACGGGTCGAAAAATCCCCAGGAATTTTTCGGAGTAGTTCGTTCAGATAAGTCGGGGCCGTTCCCTCACCATCCGGCCGCCTCATGTAGGCCTAGCCGAACCTATAATGGGCTTGCTAAAAGAGGCCCTCTTAGTGCCCACAGGGCGGAAAGAATTTCAAAAAGTAATTCACTAAAATTTAATAGCATCGATGCCTCTTATACACAAGCTACCATGCCAAATTTCGTATGTTAATCTCCATTCTCAATATCAAATGCGCTTTTTACTTTTCCTGCTGTTATATACTGTATACCAGTGTTTTTCAACCTTCTTGAATATGCGACCCCTTTTCAAGTTAAAAAATTCTGGCGACCCCCCCTAGGGCCATATTAAAACTATATCAGTGATTTTAAAAACTATGTATTTAATTTTCTTTCTGTTGAGACAAATTGTTGTTGATTAAAATGAAAATTTCAGAAGAATCGACAATAATTTAACACATAAAGTATGAAACTTCCTTTAATTATAACATTAGGCACAGGGAACTGTTAACTTTTTTTTTTTTTTTTAGGATCTGAATTTTCAGCTTCTACTTTTCTACTTTTTATTTCCTTTTGCAAATCAGCTCAACACTTTTTCCGCTATCATTTTCTGGGGTGGGCCGTAATTTTCGCTGAAATTGTAGTTTTTTAATGTAGTGTAGGACCTACAAACACTTGTCTTTTTCTTCTACCCGCGACCCCCAGGTTGAAAAACACTGCTGTATACTGTACATAACAAGGGAAAGTACTGTATTGGAATCGTGTCAAATTTTAGGCTGCGAGTTTTTTGCAAATTTCGCGTATTGCTGGCATCTATTTCATTTAATTTCACGATGAATAATGATTAAGAAACGAAATTTAGCATAGTAGTAGCTTGATATAAGGGGGATTGATGGTATTAAATTTTGGTGCTTAAAGGTCAAGAGAGTTAGGAGATAGAGGAGTGTAACTCGTCATAGCCCAAGAGGAATCGGACTTAATGATGATTTTACTTGTTATTAGCATTTACAATTTTTTTAAAAATAAAACTCATATCTATGCTCAAAATTAAGCACTTTGTCATTTTATAATAATTAATAATATAATAAGTTTTTATAATAAAATCTCATAACAGTCGGGAAAATTACACAACTCGTTGCTGGATTTTTAAATTTTTTTCAATATCTAATTTTTTGGCTTAGATAAGCTAATTTTAGTGGCATTGTAAAAAATTGTCAAGAATGAAAAATTTCAGCTTTACGACGAGATTTAACATCAAAAAATTCTCATAATGTATAAATGGTTTTGCCTGAAATCCCACTGAAGCCAGTAATTTACGTTAAAAGTTGGGTTTAAGTCGTGATATATTTCTATTCTCGACATATCTAGGAACATGCTCCAATTTCTGTAGTCAGCACTTTTCATCATCCGTATTTAAAAGATAAAAATAAAGATGCAAATTTACATATAAACATGTATTCTACTACTGTGTGAGTTTTATTTGTAGTACAAGTAGCGTGTCGTGTTGGTTAAATAAAAGTTTAAAACATGTTTTCCTTATTAACTATAAATTTGCTATTGTTAATTTTAAAGCTTTTCTAATGCACATTGAGTCGAATAATACTTAAGCTAAGCTTTCAAGTTAATCAAAAACCTTAATAAATAAATAAAAAGCAGAAATGATTTCTCAAATTTCAACTTTAAGCAACAAGCTTATTATGTTTCTTCCACGCTCAAGATGGCGACTTCCGTCCTGCGCGTGCATATAATGGCCTAAGTTGATTCCATGGGCTGCCGCTCCAGTATTATAGCTCCATGGATGAAATGGCCGAAGCAGTAAAAGAGTCAGCTAGTCGCTCTGAAATACTCTAATTCGAATTCAGATTATCAGGAATTGTCATGGGTAGCGTGGTTCTGGATATGTCGGGTTCCATTCCAGGCGGTGTACCGGCCTTGTTGTATCTGGGACGAGTATATGATGGGCTCACATATAAAGCCATGTTTTGCCAGGCGAGAAAAGCTAAAAAATGAAAAAGTAATAAACTTTCTTCTTTTTACAATAGATAAATATATATATATATATATATATAGTGGTCAAGAGTATGCCATCTTTTTATGGTTGTCGTCAGTAAAAATATTGTTAAATAAAAAAGTTTAATACTTTAAAATTAATATTTTATTTTAATATTTTTTGTTTAATTATATATTATTTTAATTAAATAAATTAATATTGAAACGAATATAAGAGAATTTTTGGGTTGAGAAGTTGGGTTTTGATATTTGGCTTATAAATGTAACCATAAAACAATTATTTTCTAGAATGAGAATTTATTCGAAATTTAAATTAGTATAAGCATTTTTTTGTGAATATTTTCTTTCTTCCCCATCCTTTTTTTTTTAAATATATTTAATATTAATATGACGATATTAACTTGGAAAAACGCCTCCTAGTAGTTATTTTATGAAACTAATATAACACCAAAGCGTGGAAGGTTGTGTATGTAGTTTGTTTGTGTCGAGTTATGTGTTGCGGATAAGAAGTTATTAATTAATTGTTCCAGTTTATTTCTACAATATATTGTGTATATTTTGTTAAATAAGGTACATTTATAATTTATAAGTAATAATTTATTGGAATGAAATTGTTTGTTATTTTAACATTTGTGAAAAGTCATGACTCAAGCAAATTTGGAAAGTGACTAAAATAACTTTTCTGTTTTCACATGTTTCTTTATATAACAGAAGTGAACTATTATGGTTATGCTTTATTTATAGTTATATAAATATATGTTTAATGTTATAGGTTGAATAATGTCTTTTCCCAATAAAGATACGAGGAGAAGATGCTGGGATTCAAGAGATAGATTTTGGGAATGTTTGGATAAAAATCAGAATGATTTAAGTAAATGCAAGGAATATCAGCAACTATATGAAGCAGAGTGCCCAGCACAATGGGTAAATTATTTTTTGTGTATTATTACATATAATTTTTTTTTTTAAATACAGTATATGCTTAAAACATTCTGATAGTGAAAGAGATCAGAGTAATAAGGGATCTATGCCTCTTTTAAGAAAATTTTGTTAGAAATAGGTTTATAGTTTTTGTGCAGATCCTAAAATCAAGTTTATCCATTTATGAGACTTCATTTTTCCTTTTTTTGCATTTACAATACTTTGTTATTGAATACTAACCTGAAAAAAAGTGACAAATTGCATATTTTCAATTTTAAAAAATGTATTTTTTTAAGTGTGGCTTATGACCTTTTTTACATGCAAGTAACAATACAAACTTTTCAAAGTAATTTTAAATATTTGGCATAGCAATATTTTCAAAAAGTATCTCGAGCTTGTAGTCTATTTTGATATCTTTCTGAACATCTATATCCATTTCAGTGTCTTTTCAGACCATATATGTTTGAGTTCCAATATTCCTTTTCACTATCTCCAATAATATCAAGATAAAACTGTTTATTAATATGTGGAATATAACTCAGTTTTTATAATAAAGCTAAGTTTTTTTTAAATCCTGTATTTTCTTTTTAGTTTTACTGGGTCATTACTTTTTTCTTCCTGATGTTTCTAAGTCCCAAAATGAATTGAATATACTTTGTTCTGTACCTTTTTTAAGTAATACTCTACAGTTCTTAAGAGTCTCTCCAATTGATCTTGTTTCTGTGTGCTGACTTAATTTGTATAAGAACATCATCCTAAGTTTTTCTGCCCTCAGCTTCTTTCCTGCATTGGCTACAGTTGTTGGCACTTATTTCGGTATTTTCTTTCTTAGTAAGATCAACACTTTGTTCCTTACCTACTTGGATTTTCTGTGATAAAAAAAATGTCAGTCAAAAAGGATATAAGTCATTATAGATAAGCCATATTTTTTTTTAGTTTTTAACACAAACACTGGGATTAATGTAATATATAAATATTTATTTAAACCAAAAGACAATATAACATGAAGATAAATAATGTCTATGGTTCTGTTAGATATAAAACCCTTAATCCAATTTTTAATGCAAACAAAACATAAGCCACAAATATTACAGTAAGGAATTCTTAAGCCTCCTAATAATATATTTATTCAGGTGAGTCATTACTATAGAAATTTAGAAACTTCAATGGGATAATAATTTCCATTTTTTAGAGTTGAATTTGAATTAGATTTGGTTGTTTCTGTCAGAATACACATTGTCACTTTAACTTCATCTGTTTATTTGTTAACATGTTGATTTTACTGTGACTTGCAACTTTCTTGAGTGTACATTTTTAGAACATGTTTTAAAATTGACATGTTACCACCATTCTAAAGTGACCATCAATTGACCAATAGCTAGAATATTTTGATTTATGACTTGTGACCTTAATTGCTTGGCTGTATTTGATTAATCATCAGGAAATTTTAAAAAATGTGGTTTGAGGTTGAGGCAATAAGGCACATTTTCAGTTTCATTTAAACACTGAAAATAATAATAATAAAGAAAAGACTGATATAGAAATTAATTTTATTGTCTAATTAATTTCTATGATCTCAAAAATTTACATTTACTTTTAAGACATTTTACCACCATTCTAAAGTAACCATCAATTGACCAATAGCTAGAATATTTTGGTGCCTTTTTTCTTAATTTTTGAATTAAAATCACATATATATATATATTTGACTGGTTCTTTTCATTAAATGCTAACAGTAACTTAGCATCATAAAAAGAATTTTAAAAATTTAATTACTGCTGACAAAACTTAGATTTTGAGTTGTAAAGAATAATTTGTTTTAATATCTACAGTTATTTAATATGGAAAATAAAGGTTCTGCATATTGAATTAATTTTATAAATTGTCTATTTAATTATTTCTGCAATTATTATAAACTAATGGTTATATGTATATGTTACTGTGAATGACCGATATCTGGCGAATGTCAACATTCTCTGGTGAATGTCAGCATTCACATAGTTGTTTCGTGTATGTACGAAATATTTGCTAAATATCATTATTTCTCACTTACACCGGCAAATGTCAACATTCAGCATGAACTGATGGTGGTTGGATAAAAGTATTTTTATTACGTTAAGACAAAAATGCAACTTTTTAATATGTCAAAATAGGTGAAAGCTTAAGTAACAGTACATGTAAATAAACTGTTGAATCTAATACGAACAGTACATTCTAAATCATTAAAGAAAATAATACAATAATAAACTTACACATAAATTATGTGATTAACGTTATGCGATCTTATTTATTGCAACAACTTAAACTGTTATGGTACTTTGAATTGCACAAAAGTCCCTTGCTTTTACAACTGCATTTATTCATGGAACACTTCTTTTTTGCAATGACAGCATGTATAGCCTTGCCCTCCACTTTTTGAATTAGCTGCAGCTGCTTCTCTCAGTGATATTGAGAAGATATCTCATCTATGGAAAGTAACTTTTCTTTACAAATTACAAACTCATTATGGGTATAAAGCTGCTTCAGGGTACCATTTTTGTTTGTTAATTTATAAAAGTCGGAGTCTTCTATTCCAACAACAACCGCCAACACATTTCGGGCCACGGTCAACATCAGGGACTTGTATTCGTACGGTATCACCAATTTGAGCAGAAGGAAACGGCGAAGAATTTGGTGACAGACTGTTGCCTCTCTGTTGACATTGGCTTCTTGGGTGTCATTTCGACCTCCACCAAAGCTTATCTGTGCTTGTCGACATACACTGGCGATTGTTCGAATGTATAATAATATAACCAAATATTTGGTCTTTCACCAACATATTTTGTATGTGTCGACATTCACCGGAGAATATCGACATTCTCTAATTTCGGTCTTTCACAGTAACATATACATAACTCAATTATACTGAAATTATTATCTATAATCACAGATTTAATTATGGTGGATTAAGTAAAAAGGAAAAATATTGATTCTTTTAAATATGATATTTGAATATGGTACTTCATAGTACTTGATTTTGTAATAATTTTTAGATTCTGAAGCTCAAGAAATAGGTTAAGTTTTAATTAAAAAGTTTACTTTTGATTCTAATTAATACTTTCGTTTTAAAATTAAGATAATCTATCTCATATAAGGTTATTAGAAACATAATATTTACATAGATTGAGCATCCTATCAAGAATAAGCTATACAAATGAAAATTGGTAGGAAATTAGAAAAATCAGTGTCATTTAGACATCTATTTCAAATTTGCCTTTATATGAATTATAAAATTTTTCAGTATATTTTTAAAATTTTTTATTAAATAAAAAATATAATTTTCATAAAAAACTTTAAAAAATAATAAAGTACTGTAATTTATTTGTATTTATGTAATTTGATACAACTGTTTTTGTTTAGTTTGTTGCATTTATTTCAATACATTACAAACATTTGAATAGAGAATCTTATTCTTTTTATGATTTTTCTTAGGCATGCAACCTGAAAATTATTAAGTTTTGAATATTTATATTCAAAGCAAATATTTTCAACCCATTTCACTATTATGGAGTTATTTCTGTTCCAGTTTCAAAGTTCATTGATTAATTAATGTCCATGAGCATAAATACCTGTATAGTAAACAGAAATTCATATGTATATATCATAAACCATCAAATATTAATTTAGTTCAGAATATAGAGAATTTATCTTTTTTTAATTATATAGGTAACATCATTTAAATTACTAAAATACCTTGGTTGATATAACATTTCATCATTTCATAACTAAATTTATATATTCACTGTATTTTCCATCTGTTCTGGATTTGGCTTTTGAATCTTACTTGTTAGTTTATTTTTCCTTCTATTATTTTCATTTTTAATATTTTATTATGTTTAATCTCATTTTATTTGTCTTCTGTTTTTAGGATATTTTTTTTTCGTTCTATTATCGCTGAAGACACGTTCAACTTTTGTGTGTAAGCACTAATTATAGTTGTGTTCCTGAGGTTATTGAAGAAGGACAGGATATGAAGACATTTTATTTTTTTGATTTGTGAATATTTTTTTTTTTGTTTACTATTGTCCTTGGCCATTTCATTTATTAATTATTGTTTTAGTTTAAATAATTTTTTAGGGTAATTATAGTTATTATTTTCCTGACTGTTAAAGTAACAGAGGAATATTATTGTAATGGTAAAATTTCCCTTATCAAGGATTTTTTTGCATTTCTTGATGTTTTAAGGTTCCTCCTGATTCTAAAACATCAAAAAATAGGAAAGGTGTGTGTTGGCCTGTAGTTTTCATTTTAATCTCAGGACCCCATGAACCAAAAATTTAACTTGTTTGAAGTGAAGTGAGTTTTTAAAAGTTGTAGATACCATTTTTGGCATTCTACAATCTTTTAAAAATTTACTCTTGGCTCTAAAAATAAGATAGCACAATACACATTTTAACTTTAAACTGTGCTCTTACAGGGTACCCATGCCTAGAAAAATTCTTTAACAATTTGACTAATTAGTTGTGAAAAGTAATTTTTAGTGTTTAATAATTATTGTTATTATACGTGGGGAGTCTGATATTAAAGGTACAGGCCAAAATTACACTAACATTTATAATAATAATAAAAAAATATTTAATACATTCTACAAAAACTACATATTCCTAATTCCGCTGTGCAAACCACAATTTGGTTTGATTTGACGTGTGGAGTATAGTCTAGATTTAGCCCCCCTCAGATTTTCATTTATTCAGACCGTTAAAGAAATTTTTGGTGGAGAAATGTTCTGCAGATCAGGAGGAATTGGAAAATACCATTCTTGACTACTTTAAGCAACTTGACAAGCGGTAGTACCATGTAGGGATAGTACCGTGAAGGGATGTTCAAAGTAGTGTCATACTGGGATAATGTCTCAACATTTACGGCGATTATGTCGAGAAATAAACAAAAATATGTAGTTTTTGTGGAATGTGTTAACACTAACATTTATAATTAAAAAATATTTATTTTGGCCTGTACCTTTA